TGAAAAACAAAAATAAATTTCTAAACATGAGTTAAAGCACAAAAGTGATAAACAAATGTCTTATATTTTCATTTTACTAGATACATTGACTGTTTTCAATATTGAAATCACCCAAATATATTTTTCTGTTTAGTAGCGAATCTAAAGGTTTGAACCCTAGTGCATGGGCGGTCATGGATATGAATTCTCACGGTTTTGGGCCCTAGTGCATGGGCTGTCATGGGTATGAGCTCTCACGGTTTTAGGTCGATGGGCTGAGCTGCCACGGCTATGAGCACTAGTGCATGGGCTCTCTCTGATATGAGCTGTCATGGTTGTGAGTCACTACCGTAGCCAGTGCCCCGGAGGCCATTGCCCCGTCGGAGCCCTTACTCCTCCGTGAGAGCCCATGCACTAATAAAAAAAAAAGTTACGCGTACTTGAAAAAATATTTTGGTCGACATTCACATAGACAAAAAAAAATAATTAGATAGTGTACCGATCCAATTCGACACCTCTGTAATTCTGAGACGCCACTAATTCACAAGAAGATTTAATAACCAAACGATAATCTTCAATCTTTTAACACAAAGTTAACGCCCCAAGATCACCTCAAATTTTCGGGCCAACATTTTATTCTATATAACTATGTTATTATTATTATTATTATTATTATTATTATTATTATTATTATTATTATTAATATTGTTTTTTATTTTAATCCTGCAGACGGTGTATCTCAGACCTGATCCACAAACAGCATTATATAAAACTACAATCAACAGCAGCAGCAGAGGAACGTGGTTGAATATTGGAAGAAAAAGTTATAAAGAAATATTATTAATACATTTCAATAAATATAATAATGAAAATGGAAGCCAAGCATCTTTACGACTAGGCTATTACTCCAGTTATGTGTAGACCTATATTAATGTGTTTCAGTGCAGTGGATAATAAATATGTAATCCATTTCCCGTTTTTCGGTGACGAAATTTTACTGACTGTATAACAAACTTCATTGAAAATACAAAATTCATTTTTTAACAACATTATTTTGAGACTTGGTTTAAGGTTGTTGTTATGGGGAACAATTCTTGATACAACTGAGGACTTTTGAATTAGAAGTCGATAGTTAATTATTAATTATACCGTTTAAATTCAAATTGAAGGACATCATATTTGGGTATGGACAAAATGTTTGTTACTATTTACCACCTGCACAAATCTGGTAGAAATCGTAGCACCATCCTTTTGGGCGTCGTACTACCATTAAGGGCATTTTGAGTTCCTATTTATATCAATTAAAATATTGTAAAACAACAATTTTATGCTAACACGAAGCTACAAAGTATTGAACGAGAAGTTGTCGCATTGAAAAACCCAAAACACGCAAGAATTTGTTATTTAACGTTATTACAGGGTAGAAGGTGGCATTCAGTATTCAAGTATTAATTTATTAACCCCTAAAATATAAATCATTTAAGATTAAAATAAAATAATGAGTGAGGACTAAGGAAAGTCTAGGCCTTTTTAGCATGTACTCTAGTATAATTCTGTACTATAATGTTTATCTAACTGTTTGTTCCAACATTATAAACAAAAATTCTTGGCTCACAATTATTCTTTATTTAAAAGTTGTCTTTGCTTGAAAAAGTATTTCTAAAATTATAGTTAAAGACGTAGCAATATTCAATAATTTACTGCTTACAGAATCGCAATATTCTAGCAACTCTATCTATGGCTCTCCTGTGATATGCTTTATAGAGCCCTCTATCACGTCACCATATTGCACTACACTACGACCATCGATTGGTCGATCGAGGTGGTGAGCGGGTTTGGTTGACAAATATTTCATCCGCTAAGATCAACATTTCAAAACATAGAAACAGCATGAAAACAAAGTAAATTTAACTAATGATGATGATGATGAAAAAGATGATGATGATGATGATGATGATGAAAATAATACAGATGATGATGATGATACAATTGATAATAATAGTTATAAGATAATAATAATAATAATAACAATAATAATAATAATAATAGCAGTAATAACAATAATAATAATATTAACTAGACTTACTGCTGTTTGTTAAACAGAACTTATTGGTAGATCTTATTATCACTGTCATACTGCGACCTGGTGTTGTAATTGTAAAGTAAATATAAGATCATAAAAAAAATATAAATCAAGTAAAAAACACGCATGGAAACCAACTCAACATCGATGAGAGTCGAACTTGGGATTGGTAATAGCGAGGGTGGTGTGGACCATTGCACCATAGAACCCGACCCTGCGAGGACAGTGCACATTTTCCATCTACCTTACATACTTTCATAGACTAAAGGCAAAAAATGCTTAAACATTCTACTGTAATTTTGCATTTAACCTAGCTGTAAGCTAGTTTGAAACGCTTAGGCCTAATTACCCGTTTATTAATAATCAAAATATGTAGAATGGCGTCATAATAATAATGTCTTTACTAGACAGAGTAACGAAAAATGACTAAAGTGACAGACAAAAATAAAGAAACCCTATGCAAAAAATATTAAAATAAAAAAATGGAAAGAAAAAAAAATGTTTAAATTATTTGAGGACTATTAGAATCTGAAAAAACCCCAGTACAGCAGTCTAGTTAAAAATGTAGTTTTCTTGAAAAATGTATCCAAACCTTTGAGCGTTTTACCTATTTGGTCTATACGACTAGAGCCGGTTAGGCAAACGGTACCGGGTAAGTAATTTTGTCTCATGGAATTTGAATTAGCAACATTGTGGTAAAATGTGACTGCAGATTCCATGATTACAAATGATAATGAAGTAGAAACTAGGTCTAGGAGGATTATCAAACAGGATGTACCAAGTTAAAAAAAAGACATGATTTAGGACAGTGATTAGTTCATTTATTGGCATATCCTTGGCTCTCGTGCCTAAAAAAAATTAAATGAAATGATACAGTTTTAAGTTCCTAGCACATCTATATAAATAAATGGTTATAAATTAATGATGAGTAAGTCTACGTATTTTTTATCGATATACTAGTAATGAAAATAAAATCTGACTCCTGTAAAGGGATGGCGATCCTTGATAGACAAAGTTTTAATATAAAATTGCATTCTGATGATATACAAGTCTGCTACTCGCTGTCCGTTTCTAGCTGTTGTTCTGGGCGTCGTGCTCCAAACGCTAAACTTGTAGATTTAGTCATTGAAGTAAAAATTGTTATGATTAGTCCTATAAATGTTTGTAGAATCGAACGAATATATTGTTCAAACACATAAAAATGGAATTTGACTTAATAATAATTGTTGACATTGTACCTTGATATCGATGACAGAACACAGAAAGTTACATACAGTAACCTACACATAGGCCTACAGACTTACCTAAAAAATATTAACTAATCTACAGACTATTAACAGCTTAAACTAATAAAGACAAGCTGAGAAAGAATCCATATTGTTCATAATGTCCAAAGAGATTTTGATCAAGATATCATAAAAATATCTTTACTTCCTCCAAATTTACATCATACAACAAAAGAGGAGGGGTAAGATGAAAGCAGAACCAAGTTCTTATCCCCGAAGTTTGTGGTTGCCATATACAAGTGGCTCATTAAAAAACTGTTTCGTAAATATTTACATTTCAAGATGAGATAAAGTGCATTCTTAAAAGAAAAAAAGTGAATAGCAATTAGAATTCAATGAAGAGGGTGTTTGGCAACGCTAGCATACGGCCGACAAATGAATATATAATGGCATTACACCGAGCAAAAGAAATGTTATGAACTCCCTTTTTTTTTATTAATCAGTGCCTGTAAGAAGGATAGAGGAAAAAGAGAAAGACTAAGTAGATTTCTCCTTTCTTTCTAGAGAACAGTATCAAAATTTATCCATTCGTTGAGAATAATTTAAATAATTAACATCATTATTGTCAAAATAATGTTGATTGACAAATCTTGGGTGACTCAGGTTACCCCCAGGACGTAAACCTCCTGATACCATGTCATTTAATTCATTTTTATGTCAATATACACTTTGCTATCGTCTGGCTATTGACCTTGTAGGAGTACATCCGATGACGGGATGGGTCATAAGCTAAAGTTAAAAATTGAAAGTAAGTTTACGAAATATGATGTCATGCTAGATAAGACCTGTGCTAGAAAGAACTAAAAAGTCAACAATATGTTACTTGTAAGTTATTCAAATAAATTGTCAACACAGAAAGCTGCTAGATAAGACCTGTCCTAGAAAGTTCACTAAAAATTCAACAATCTGTTACTTGTACAGTTATTCAAGTGAATTGCCAATACAAAAAGCGTGGATGAGTTAAAAGTAGACACACGCTCCCGCTGGGAGCCTATTTTTTAATATGCTGTATCTTCTAAAATTGATCCAAAAGAGCAATGTTATTTGGTATTGCTGCTATAGAGCAATACCGGATTAAGCATCGTCTGGCCTCAAGGCACATTTTGGAAATGGCCCAAAAATGTTAATTGAATGGACCCCATGGTAATTTAACGAGTTTTCTGGCCTAATAATACCGGAAAATAGAGTAAATAATATTGCGGTCCAACTTTTGATGGCCCATCATTTTCGCTTGGCCCACAAGGCTTGTGCCTTATTTCCCTAATGGTTAACCCGGCACTGCTATAGAGAAACTGGTAAAATGTACGTTAGAGACCTTATATAGCAAATAACACAAATATGAGAGGCGAGAGGGCACTTGAGGAGTCTGAAAGGAGTAGGCGGCCTCTATCGACGACTTCTCTCAATCGTCTATAACTACCCGTTGTGAGTTCGTAAACGTAGTTGTGTCTATTATAAGTCTCAGTTGTTTTCTGACCTGAGACTCTTCGAACGAAAGGTGATGTAGTGATGGTTGGTTGTCCTCTTCCTGTACCGGTGGGCTATTTGTTGAGTCATGCCTATCGATGTTGGTCGTGCATTCTGTCTGGATACGGCTAGCATCATTCCGTATTTTGTTAATGTTGATAGCGCGTTTGAAACTCACCAAATGTCCGTAGGTAAACGCGTTCGTGAGAGACATGCTGTTTACAAGAAGAAAGAGAAACTGAATAGAGAAAGCGTAGGGCTCTTGTTGATTTTCAGTGGTGTGCGAACTTGTTATGATGATATGAATGAAATATGGCACCTGTGTGATGCACGCCGTGATAATTACAAACACTGATTTTAATAACAAATTTGTTTCTATCATGGCTTCATTGTTACCAGTAATGAATGTTTCGGATGTACCAATAACTCGTCTACTGATGGTTGCGAGTGTAACTGCTACAGCCTCTTGAACGGTTTCATTGCTTTGAAAATCTTCGTTTTCAAGAGCATTACAAGTAGTTACTCTACGAGATTTTCGGTGTAATTCTCGAATAGTGCGTATATTCGTAAAAACAACAATTATAAACGGAATAGCGAAAGCGAAGGTAAATAGCATCGCGCCATACTCGAGATTGGAGCGAATACCCCACAGCGTAAAGCAGGTGTCGAGGTAATCCACATACTGGAACTTTCCAAGCTGCCAAAATGGTGGAGATGCAAATGCAAAACTGATAAGCCAAGCAAGCGCAATAACGATGTGGGCACGGGCTAGCGTAACGTATCGTTTGTACTGTGTCGGACGGCATACGAAAATGTATCGATCTAAGGAAACGATCATTGCGCCGATTACTGATGCGACTGTGGCAGATGTTGTCACATTGCCCTGAAGCTGACACAGGAAGCTATTTCGAGCGTCGTACCAAGCACCATAAATGGAGATTATGAATGTGAAGCCCAGATGAAGACCAACAAGAAGATCAGCCATTATCAAACTCAAAAGTAAGCGATGTGAAACGTCTTTCCTGTTTCGTCGTATATGGCCATGTAGATAGTATAGGTTGATAGAATTAGCCAGAATTATCGGCGAAAACAAAATTCCAACACCGACTCTGAAGAACACTGACTGGAGACTTCCGTGATGCATCTTTGGAAGTTAAAAAAAATTACATTAGTCATATCATGTTATATATCATATCAGAGAGCAATGACTGCTCCTTGATCAAATACCATTTTCCTGATCATATTGTACCATTTTTAAAAAGCATACATGAAAAACTCGACGGCCAGTTAATGGTAAGATAGGTCAAAATGAGACTTCGGCCACCTATCTGGGAGCTCCAAGTACTGGACCAGACGCTTAAAAAAAAAAAAAAAAAAAAAAAAAAAACAGAAACAAAAAATGCACACACATATGAATGGAAGAATGCAAAATTACAAGAATGTAAATAAATTTAGATGTAGATTTGTCGAAAGGACTCCAATACAAACATACGGTAAAATATAGTGAGCAGGTATCCAGGGTTTTGAAAACTTAGGGATGGGGGTGGGTGCTGAATTAAAATATAAACTCTACTGAACATAACGCAAGGCGCAGACAGGGACAGAGCATCGATGGCTATAACTGCACCATAAATTGGCTGGCTACGTCTTAAGTAAGTTACTTTGCAATTTACATTAATTTACTTTTAGGCAACATGAGCACCCCTTAGTTACTCCACTAGATAGAAAAAAGAACAGTCAGAAATCTTTTACAAGGTCAAAAAATAGCGAAAAAAACACGGTAAAAAAAAACTGAAAAGAAAGGCGCTATATAGAATAACAAGTAACAAGTAAATTAAATCCGCAGCTAAATATGATTAATAAAGTAAGCTCTTAAATTAAATATAAACACACCAAACGATTCTAAAACAAAATATTGTTTATGATTAGTCTATGTAAAAGACTGTCAATAATGAGCCTTGACATTATGTATTAATTATACAATATAATAAAATGAAATATATAAAGATAATTGTATTTATTTTTAAGTGATGTCGTCTAAGACATTTTTTAAATTAATAATCTTCTAATATCGTCATGCTTTTTCTCTATCTAATTAAACCTAAACCTAATTAGGCCTAAATGCCGTTCCAGCGTGAGATGCTGGCTTGTAAAACATACAGCTAGCTCTGTTAAGCAGGACAATCACTGCGCCCGACGGTCGTGAGCTGACACGATTCTATAAAGAACGCAACGCGACGACGCGCCCAACGGACCGTTTTTTCTGACGATCTGTTCAGACGACCACCAGTATGGAAATCTCCAAATTGTAGTTCCTAAATATCTGCTCAAAATAGACCACATGTAGTTTTAGAAAGGAAAAAAAAAATTAAAACAACCTACATTCGAAACTATTAGGTACAAGCAAATCCCATACCCGCCTCATCAGTATGTGAAACCAACAGAAAAAGACTTATTATTTGACATATTATTTGAACCATAATCATGATAAATTTAGCTTTAAGCTTAGAAGCCTCAACTTTCATAATTTGAATCGGTTCATCCTAAATCACGCTTTTATTTTTGTATCAGTAACTGTTGTATATGACCTAAATGTTTGAATTTATATGTGTATTGTAATCTTTTGCAATGTATAGACTCTTATTTTGTTTATGTATCGTTCGTAATTTAGCGGCAAAGCTACAATGCTACAATGATGATATTTTGAAATAAAATTTGAACTTGGAATGGTGGAAGCGGTTGGGACAGCGGTTGAGACTCTGGTTGTATTCAGGTCGGAGTAGGCCCTACTCCACCTGTAAATTTTACTCTTGTTTCTGGGTGCTTCCTGGGCAGGCACTTTTTACTTTCATTAAATAAAGTAGATATGTAATAATAATGACACCATTATTTTATAGCCCGCAGAAAAAGCATCAATGCACTTCACAACAAAAAACAATAAGCAGTAAAAATAATTGACTGAAACTACCTAAACTAAAAACAGTTCCATGCTATCAGTATAGGTGTTCAGAACAGGGCTCCACCCACCGATGTCGAAAACAACATCGCTGTTACACTCGGGTGTACCCAGGCACTCCGTTATGCATAGGCGTATGCTGGAGACCGGTAGTAGCTTCCACCTCAAAAAAAGCAGTCGGTTCTACTCCAGGGGCGGATCCAGAGATGTCAGAGTGGGGTCGTTCAAGATAACACAACTCTAGGGGCCCAGGGGAAAATTTTTGCTTTCTGGCCTTTCGAAAATAACCTCAGAGGCGTTTTGAGCGATCATTTTTTTTCTTTTTTCTTAACTCTCCAAAAGGTGGGGCCGGCGCAGGCATCCTCCCCTATATCCGGTCCTGTACTCTACACACTGAAAAAGACAACGACATTATCTCGAGTAAAGACCAAGTGCGGTCCAGCTCTGGACATCCGGCAAAATGATACGGTAACACATCCATCAGCTATAAAAAAAATTCCCAGATGAAAAAATGGGGAAACATGCGTATTCTGCGTTGTTAGCGAAAGGTTTGAAAAAAGGTTTTGATAGACTAAATAGACCACAGACGCCCATTAAGACAGTTAATAAGAATTCGATATCCAGAAAATTGAGCCATGTAATTCAATTTTACCAACACAAACAAAATATACCTAAGCATACCTGTGTCTCAAAAACAATAAAAAAAATATATACGTTCTAGTATCAGACTAGAAAAATATAAAACGAAAAGTAAATAAATTGAGAAAGCTGGCCAACAAAAAAAGCAAATAGAAACATTAAACCACTTATATATAAGGTATTCTCTAAATGGTGTACTGTAAGAATGTCGCCGGAAAAAATGACCCAGGAAAAAATGGCCCCGGAAAAAATGGCCCCGGTAAAAATGGCCCCAAATGACAGATAGGTAAAAATGGCCCCAATAATAAAATTCTGTATTAAAACTGATTTAAAAAAAAAATCATTATATGCAATTTTTTAAACTGAAATAATTTAATTTTTAAAAGGAATCTAACATCAAATAAATTGCCATTTACATTTTACTTTTTGCAGAAATTACATATTCAATGATAAAATATTCAAAGAGAAAAAAAAGCCATGAATAACACTTTTTATTTTTTCCCCATTTCAATGTTAAAAAATAGCAACAACATAATCAATAAATCAACATAAATCATGCATTTATTGATACTAACATAATGTATTTGTGGCCAATTTCAAGGAAGCGGAATCACAATTTTCCAGAAATTTAATCCGGGTATTGGTAAACCCCACAAACAATGAGTTTATATGAACATCAAATTATTATTATTTTTTTTTTAGAAAAAGAGAGTTCTACAATCGTAATTAAAGGATTTGGATGGGGTTCGCAGTGTGTTTGGAGGATTGTGGTGTATTTGCAAGAATTTTTTCACAAGAAAATCAACATTTTAGGTTCTTATAAATATTTATCTTTCTTATTGATATACCAAGTGAGTCAATCACAATTTAATTGTTTGGTTTTCTACAGTGTGTCTTAGGAGGTTTTTTGGATTTAGCAATATGTATATAATATATTATCTCAGTTTACATTATTTAGTATAGTTTTAGGCACTTAAACTAACTTGATGGGGAGTAGACACCAAGTATGGAATTAAATAATTTGCTTAAATAAATGTATTCCTTATAAATATTCAGCTTACTTTAAAAACAATGTTTGAGCAACAAATACTTCTTTGAAGTAACTCTAAGCAGAACATTTGTTGAAGTAAAGTAAGCCTCCCTTTTTCCATACATGAACATGTCATTCAACAATTGATCCACATGCTTTAACCAAGGTAATTCAACAAAAGGACGCACATCTCGGGACATCAAAGGTTATAACTCTGGCATCGACATTCTAGGCGCACGTGCGTCCCTACACGCTGAACGTCACAAAAACCATAACGTAGTTGAAGTACTCTATGTATGTCATTCATCTATTTTGTTAGTGGAATAACGTTTTTAAAACTAATTTCAACTATCAAAAAATGTTCAATGGCCGTTGTTTACTGATAATCTCGCAGTAAATTATTTGCATCTGTTGTGTAACTGTATTTGTTATTGATTCAATTCTTGCTTATTACAGTATTTAAATACTTAAAGATTAAAAAAAAAATATCATTTCTATTACTGAATTTTTTCATTGGGGCCATTTTTACCTACTTGTCATTTGGGGCCATTTTTACCTACTTGTCATTTGGGGCCATTTTTACTGGGGCCATTTTTTGCGGGGCCATTCTTACCTATATATATATATATATTATTCACCTAACACTAATACTATTGACACCAAAATGCCCAACCTTTTTTGCTCCCCGAGCTAAGTTTAAGTAGAATAAAATGTGTTAAATATAAAGAAAAGCAACAAATATACAATACCTTTTAGATCCTTTTGCACAGCTGTTTTAAACATCAGAACCAGAACATCAATTTGTCACTATATTTTTGGAACTGCTGATACAATTACTACGATACCATATATTGTAAAGTAGGCCTACGAACTCAATTTAATTAGGTTGAAAGATAAATGAAAAAGCAATGAAGATTTACAACAAATTTTAAGAAGTCTCTAATGAACTATAGAGCTTTAAACCATGAAAATGACATGAATAGCACATAATTAGTAATTAGTATACCATACACAATGGATAATTACCATAGTAGATAATACATACTCCAAGTATCGAAATGCACGACATCGTGTCAGGATTCAACATTTCGACATTAATTATATCATCATCAGAATGATGATGATGACATAATTAATGTCGAAATATTGAATCTCGACACGATGGCGTGCATTTCGATGCTTGGAGTATGTATTATACTATCTTATCTGAGATTAATCCGTGCACCTTTAGATTTTATAGTAGCCTTACATTTAGTTTTATTGATTACATCAACACTCTCATTGTAATTCAGTTTGATATCCTGGTGTTTTGACAGGATTTGAACCTAAGACACTGGGATTTAAATGCATGGCATCTTTACCGCTGAGATACAGCTCCACTTCCAATGAAACAAGACTACAAACTTGTATCAAACATTGAGAAATACGCAAGTCACGAGGATATTAATTCTTTATTTGATGTTTGTTATTGGCAAACTTTCAAAAAGATTTCGACATTAAGCTCCGTTAATCGTTCTTTTAAACTTACTAACAAATAGAAGATTTGAAAAACCGGCAGTTGTTAAAAAAAGTCTCCAGTGTATGATGTTAACATATGTTTAATCGTTTTAATAAAAGTTCAATTTAGTATGAAACGAGGGTTATTCATCACGCTGCCAACTCCCAACCTGGCCAACTTTAACAAATGTAAAGGGAAGTGTTATTCTTTGTGTATTTTACTAGCCTGGTAAACATATCACAAAACAGTGATCATAAAAACTGCAATGTTTTCATTCTAAACCAGAACATCCCGGTCTCGAAAAACCTGTACTTTCCAGATAAGGAGTATCCAGTGTTGTTTTAAAGTTCATTTGTCTATTGGTGATTGGATATGGTCTGGTGTACTGCAGTTGTTTTAACCACGATCGGTGGCTAATCGGAAGTGGAAATAATCCCAATTGGTATCTAAAGTCCTTCATTTTGCAGGCTAACAGTGCGTCGACTATTTCCGAGCAGACACGGCGAAGTACCTTCTTGAGTAGCAGCGGGAGCAGCTGGTATGTATTATCACTTCATACTTTGTAATTAGGCGATTGTCAGAAATTATAAGCTACATTTTTTGTTTACTTTAGTAATAATATGCAATAATAATTAACGCTTAATCTTTAAATGTATTCAGGGTAATTGTATTTATTATATTTAGATAGTATCACATAGATATTTCAGCCATTATTCTGCGTAAACTTAAATACTCAATAATTATTTATATTAATATATTAAATAATATTAAATACATGCCTACATAAAATTATCGGGCATTAACATATCAGTGCTCATGCCAACATAGACGATCGCTAGGCAACTGCCTTTTAGAACAAGCTAATTATGTAGTCGAGGTGTCTAAGCATTGGTCAACTTGTTCAGAAAGGGTCATAACAAGGGTTTCACTTTCCTCGCAGGATGATAATCCGCGTTGGTCCAACCGTAGGGTTGTGTTTTAATTTTTTTTTTTTAAATTTAGAGTAAAGCACATCTCTTAAACGGATACGAAAGAGATGGGGGGGGGGGCAACCACACTAAATAATATTGATCTTATCTTATATGAAAACTTAACTTAAATTAAAATTAATAAATTGAATGAATAATAATACATAATTACACGTGAAATATGAGTATTGATTGAAAACAATCTAGGTCTAAATATATTTGTTTCTAATTTTTTAAATGTTTTGGTGTAAGTTTTATTTCTTTTTGTTTTGAATTATTAATAATAAAAAAAAAATTAATGTGAATGACACGCATTTCGAAGATTTGTTGTTTTAATTTATCTAATATAATCCC